GTGCCTACAGTTCTTGAACGGTGCTAGAAACTTTATAACCTTCACAAGAGACCTCCAGGAATGAATAAAATATTTTAAAAAGAGAGACTTAGGGGTTTGATCCATGCAGGATGTCAAAGACGACTGTGACTTCATGTTTGTGAGAGAGAAGCTTATGTGGTAAAAGGCCTTTCAACTCAGCAGTCAGATAAAACATAATTTCATGCTGGAAAGTGAAGCTAGACAAACATCAACCAGAAATATTTGTTTTTAAGCACTGAGAGTAATCAGCATTGGAATAAGCTGAAGTTCGCAACAGATTCTGCACCAAAAAAGTGTTCGCTAGATGGATTTTCAAAAAGCTGCAGCCTTGTTCATACACAGTTTAATTAATTTGGGGAAAGGACTACAAAATGAATGGCCTTATGAACATCTGAATTGCAGATTGCTGGTCTGTTCTGTCTATATATCTAAAAATCCTGGCGCTATACAACGCGTGTAATCTACATACCAGATGCTCACAGAGGTTTAAAGACCGAGATGACTTCAGAAAGTGCTTAGATTTCTTGATACAGTGTCCCTTCATTTTTTTTTTATCATCCAATACAGTGGATGAATGCTTACAATGAAGTAAGCATTCTTAGTTTTCCAAAACTGTCCCATTCCTACTGTTATTCAGCATCACGTTGTAGTTTTCCAAAGCCGTCCCATTCCTACTGTTATTCAGCATCACGTTTTAACATTGTTGTATAAAGCACAGTACCTCCAGGTTAGACTTTGACACTTTTATCATTTCTATTACTTCCAGGTTAGACTTTGACACTTTTATCATTTCTGCAGCACAAATTCACAATGAGACAAACTGCTTTCTATAATTTTGAGAGTATCACCACATTAGACCATGACTATCACACCACAACAGTTCTGGGCTCATATTACTAATACCCACCAGTGGGCCCACATCATCCTCCAGATACAGGAGGATCAGCAGTTTTCAGATGTGCCAGGCCATCTTCGTGATGGGAACATCGCCACTGGCGCAGTTGGATTGGCAGCATGCTTCCAGGCTCCCAGAAGTATCCCAAAGAGGCCGCCATTTCCTTCTGGAAATTGGCAGTTATGGAGTTAGACCGATGCCCAGCCTGTCGTGCGGCAGTCAGCGAGCCCGGCCTCAGCATCAGTTAGCCCGTCCACTCTCACACAGCTGCTTTCTGCCACGCACACAGCAGCACTGGCGATTCCCAGAGGCAAGCATGGACCACGTATGCCGTATCTTCAAGTTTATGCCAAGGATGAGAATCTCACAGAAAAAGTGAGTGGTATTATCCAAAACACCCTGCTTCAACATGCCAGAAAGTTTCTATCTAATAAGGCAAAGTTATCCCTAGTACAGCTCCCCTATCAGGCCTTTTAGTTATACCAGAGATGCATCTGGCCCAGTACTTAGAAAAGAGACACTGCCTGCAACAGACTGGCATTATACACTAATTACAGTTCTCATCACCATAGGAATGAACTTTTGTTTGTATCCCTTTCATTCCATGAAAGGAAATGAAACTCACCCAGTTAAAGTAAAAAACTGAAGATGAAGTACCCCTTAAAATAATGGGTTTATACTGAGTGACTTCCCTGGAGATGATGCCTGCCCATCTCCAATTCATCTTAACCTCCCACTTAGCACACAAAAAAGCACTAGCTTATAATTTATCAGATAAACTGTGTCTTTAAACTTTCTGTTCCATCTTTTGTCCTTGCCCTACATTTCTACTATTTGTAAGCTCCAGATTCAGAAGCAATACAGATAGCTTTAAGCAAAGGATAAATTGTTCTTTATACACACTTTCCTCTGGAAAAGAAACAGGAACTTAACTTGAGATTTCAAGCATCTTTGACATCTGCTTATAGAATGGTTCCAATTCTGTGAAGACCTTAACCAGATACTTAACAGTGAGCACAGGAACAGCCCCAGTGGCTGTGGGCATCAGACATACTTTCTGACCTGCACGTGGACTGGACCCTGCGCCAGCTGGCAGGAAACCAGGAGGCAGGTCAGTCCTGGGGAGCATTCCTCACCTGCCTATTCTGCAAGGGTAGTATGGACTCTGCTCCTCTGGATCTCAAGTTCTTCCTTCCAGAGTCTGAATGCTCTCCATTTCTAGTAAATTAAGAGAGAGATGGTCAAATGGTTATCTTGTGAAGACACCTGGTGCACTTTACTAAATTTAATCCCAATGTATTATATGCGCAAAATAATACCATTGTATTTTAAGTACTTTATGTTTACTACTAATCTTCTTTTCTTTTATAATTATGAATGTAAAAGCAAGAGATAATGTCTCTGACTTTGGCTTAGACCCCTCTCCAAACATTTTATACAGAACGCTTGCTTCCAATATTCAAAATACTTCATCACGTCATCCAGCTTCTCTGCGCAGAGGTAGCTAGTAACACAGGTATTGTGATTTCATGCATTCCTCATGCATTGAAGACATACGTTTAAGGACCAAATCCATTTCTGAATACAACCTATCGAAACTAAAGTTCTGCAGACTGAAAACTTCTCTTTTATATGATCACCTTTGCAAACAGACATAAAAAAGTCTTTCTTATCCACGTCCAGGCCCACAAACTGCCCTATAGATTACTCAAGAACAGAAATTAGTTGACATAAGTACTCTTTGCCTTCCCACCCGTGCTAGATCACAAGACCTTTGAACATCTTGACTACTCTGACTCTAGTTCTTCAAGGCTCAGAGTATTCCAACACTGAGAAGTTTGAAGGTTTTGGCACACCCAATGCTACACCACCAAAAAGAAACTTGTGCAAACAAAATATAATTTGAATCTCAGTGAGACAGAAAAAAAACAACACTAAGCCCAGTGAGACACGAAAAACTACTGAGCCAGATCTTCCTTTGGCTTGAGTCTACACTACAGAAATCCTGCCCTATTTCACTGTTCAGATTTCACTTTCACACAAAGAACTGTCCCCATCTGAATTATCTTCCAATTTTAAGAGGAAAGTAAAAGAGATTAAGTCATGAGAGAGACCTACAATAATCTATTCTGACCTCCTGCACACACTATACAATTTTTGTAAATTAATTCCAATTAAAACTAGAAACAACCTTCAAGTCAAGTTTAGGTTTGTCTCTTGCAATGGAGATCACATTATTTGCTTAATTACAAGGCACTTTTAATGGCAGTTATTTCTAAAGAATGCATAGGTTCTACAAATGCAACTAAACGTATCTGGATATGGTGTGTGAGCATCTGTGGCGCACAGCATTCAGCAGAGCAGATCACAGCCCGCACACATCCACTCCTTCACTTGGAAAGAGTCTCTAAACTGCCACAGCAGACAAGCTACAGGCAAGTCAAAAGTTGAAACCATCTCTCTCAGAAAGTATCCAACACTGCAAGGCACAGAGCTTCTGAACTTCCCTGCAGTTAGATATGGCTTCAATCACACCTTCCAAATTGGATCACAAATACTGAGATAGAAATTCAGGTCCAAAGCTTAAGGGACTAACGCGGTATCTGGTTCTGTTCCTCCACAGAAAAAGGCTTTTTATTTAGAAAATATGCTGTTCTCTCCCAAGTGACCAAAACAACAGCCAGTTGCATCTGTTAGACCCTTAATGGAACAAAATGGGAACATGCAGGCAGTTAGATATACTCAATAAACATGTCCTCCTGCCCAGAAAAGAGAAAGAGCTCAGCTGCCGATTTCTCACTGTTACCATCATGTGAAGTGATGGAACTTTTTCCCTTTCTGAAACCTTACTGCAAGCTCATGACAAGACAGATGTCTGCAATCACTAACTACTGCTAGTTTAAGCACAATTGTATTTGCTACAGTTTCAGTAAACATGTAACCAAGTGCTTAAAAATCTATTTTAATGATGTTTTCAAGAATAATAGTACTCTGCATTACAAAAGAAAGAGGTATAAGGTACGTCTTTTACATATAAGAAAAAACTTACAGCGAAGGCAAAGAATATCTTAAAACCAAAATAAAGCTATGTTGTTCCCTACAGGGAAGCTTCAGGTGTTTGAGATTACTCACTCAATTCACTTTCAGCATTCATAGAAAAAGATGAAAATGGACAGTGAAAATAGTTACTCTACCATGCCAGCTTTAAATATTCCACTGACTGTCAACAATTTAGCAATAAAATTACAAATATACAGAAAACAGATCTGTTACTGTACTGAAGCTACACACAGAGCCAATAACAAAAATACATAACAAAATAAGCAGAAATTAAGTGTTTTCCATTCATAAATGCAGAATTACTCCCACATTCCACTCCATCCTGAAAAGAGCACTCGACGCGGTGACCAAAAAGGAAGACGACTGTTATTACACTTCATAGAGCGGGCAGAAGACAAATCTACACATTACTCACAAATTTGGACTAACGCTAATTCTACAAATTGTTTGCTGTAGAATCATAGTTCATACATGGAAACATGTAAAATTAATATTAACAATTACAAGTCAGAGAAAACTGGTGCTTGTTGGCTAGAATGAGTCCTAGTTCAGGAGTCTAACCCCAAGGACATTACCAATAACAAAAAGCACTGTGGTCAGTAGAATTTGCACGAAAGGCCAAAAGTGATCACTAAAACCGTTTTTCCAAACAGCAGGACAGAACATCAGGAAAAGAGAATACTACTGTATTCATTGCAATGTTAGGTTTTTGAGCACAGATGTGCTTGACTTAAAAATGACATGCATTACAAATACAAAATGCTACAAATGCTCACTGCATGCAAATAGTCCCCAGACTACTTCACTTTATCATTTCTAAATCAAAGTAATACATACATAAGGATGGAACATGGTTTCTATTTACATAAGCTTTGACAGGAAAGGGCACGTTAAATGATGACTGAATCACTAGCATGAAATTGCATTTCTAAATAATTTAAACCCTCAAAACAGTATTTCTTGCTAAAAATCCTTCATGTCAATGAAATAGTTTGTAAACATTGAAGATGTACATTTATACAATCTACAGTCTCAGCAGGACATAAATTTCAGGCTTATCATCACTATCGGGTTCCAGCTGCAGAACAGAATTATGTGTATACAACTGGTCACCACAGCCGTAGTGCAAAGCGGCACACGCGCCCTCTGGTATTCCTCGGCCCTCCACGTCCTCCCCAGGGAAGCCATTCAGGTACCTGGCTATGTACGAGCCCGTTGAATGCCTGTTGATAACATGAGGAGATGCTGAAGGCTTGTTCCGAAGGACGACGCCCGCTATGCTACTTGTGTTAGAAGATTTTTGCTTGCTGGCAGCCTCCTGCCTCTCCTTGGCACGGCTGGCTATATTCCGCACTCTGCTCTGGCTTCTGGATGAGAGTTTTCTGACCAGCGTCTTTGGGCAGTCTTCATCGATCTGCCTGGAGTACAGCGTTTGATGGCTGTCCTCCTGGTCCAGGGACACCAGCTTCCTCAGCTGTTCTGTCAGAGCGTCTGTCGAATGCGGTGTCATATTCTTCATAGCAGCAAGTTTCTTGTCTCTCATGCCCGATGAGATAAAGCTTCTACTTATGTATTGATACTTACTTTCAAAATTGCAGGAAATATCCTCTGATGTCAAGTCACCGAGACTTTTGGATTTGCAAGGGCTAGCCTGCTTGATGGCTGAAGGAGGTGGGAAAGGCAAAGCGTTTTTGAGCACCGGTGAGTGTATGTTGAGCTGGGATCTCTCAGAGGTACACATTATGTTCTGCTTATCTGAATGATGATGATATAAAAAGCCAACACTTTCACACATTGGAAAAGGGAGCTGAGTCCCTGCAGCCCCGAAGTTATCCGAGCAGTCCAGGGCAGCAGCACGGAGCTCAGTCACGCCGTTCCCAGAGGTCCTCTCACCACCGTGCCCAGAATCCTGCCTTTGCCTCAGTTTCAAAGGGGAAGCCAGCTGGCTCATGTCTTCCCTTTTGTACTCGGATGCAGTTACCAAGAGATCTTGAGGATCCTCATCTACTTCTATGAGACTGCTGCTTTCTGAATTTTCACCAGTGGGAGGGTCAACAAGTGTCTCCTCATCCTCAAAGATGAGGCTATTGGAAGCAAAAGAACTAGCAGATTCGGGGGCTTCCCAGTGTGTTCCACATTTTCTTTTGGGATTTGCATTTAGCAAAGAGAGAGGTGAAGGACAAAGACAGCTAGGCAAGTTGTTTTCTATACTGTTTAACTTGTTCTTGCAAACTAATTCACTGTGGGTCTTACGGTCAGAAGTTGGTGTAAGAGTTGCCTCATGGATAATTGTGTACACAGAATACTCTGTAGTCTCAGGGCTGGAGAACGTGGTAGTATCTGGAGTTGAGAATAAAGGGGATTTGATGGATTTTGTGGTAGTAAAGGTGCGCTTACAGGGACTGTTAAGATCCGCAGTAAGCACGTGTGGGTGTGTAGCCATCACACTGACGGTCTGGCTACTGGTGCCATGGAGGCTTGAGACCACAGTAAGATTAGTTTGGTCATCTGTGACCTCAAACTGTCCGATCAGAGCTGAGACAGCGCTATCCAACTCGCTCTCATTTGCTAAAGAAACTTCATCTATAAGGCGAGAAATGTCACTGTCTTGTGTGGTTGAAGTGGAGTGCAAATCAGGAACATCAGAGCAAATGGCAGAAGATATATCTGTCAAAGAAAGAGGTGCTGCAGTGCTTTTCTTGATGATGTCATATTTATGATTTTCCATCCCTACTTTTTGAGAAAGGGAAGTCCCCACAAGAGTTCTTTTCTCCTCCTTAGACCCTTTTGTGTCATCTTCCTTTTTATTGTCTGCACAGTTTTTGTCATGTGTTTTTTCTGCAGAAAGTCCAAAATCAGAGTCACGCATTAGAGGGACAGTTTCATCAGAAAGATTATTTTCCTGATAGCCTACGAGGCGATTTGTTTCAGCTACACCACTTGCAAAAACTAAATTTTCATGTTGCTCCTGTAGAGATGGCACTAAAGAGTCAACTGTAGTCTCCTGGTCATCCTCCTCCTTAAACTGAGATGTCAGATTTGAAGTATTTGCTGTTTTCACAGAACATGGAGAACCAGATTCTTTCAAGTTTGTTTCCTTCTCATTTGTATTGTCATCACTGTTGGCTAAATTAAATAAGAAACATATTAGTTGCATACAATATTGTGTTCTGTTTATTGACAAATATTTTGTCCTTAGACAGACAAATGGAGAACGCAAAATTAGGTACAGTTGTGACAGAACTTAATTATGGGGTTGTGCAGGTTTAGTACAAATTATCTGAGTGATATGAATAAATGGAAAAATACAACTGCAGGCACTTCATTGAAACTTCCTTTGAATGTCTATTACATCAAGCACGTGATGTAATATTTGTTGCAAATAATGTTAATGAGGTACCATATCATAGCTTGCACATGGTATTACCTTCAGCTGTGTTCCTATTCAGATTTGTACTACAAAGAAGCATGGCAATAAAGACAGAACAAAACAGCTCTGTTAAAAAACATAGTATGTTGAAACAAGATGCATGCTTAAAAGAGCTGAGTAAAAAGCAGCAAGTAGAGGGACTCCAGAGTGCATTTTACATGTAGTTATTGTAAAGTGATACAGTTTAAGGATTTCATTTTTGATCTTCTACCAGCATACTGCATTCACGAGAGCAAGATTTTGAATTCCATGGAAAATATGCACTAGATATTTTCTCCACCAAATCTTCTTACTTGTCTTTATATGCCAAATCCAAGCTCTATGACTCAGTCCTTTAGAGCTTTTCATTAAGCAAGGACTATAGCATTAAGTTTACCATAATGTATACTGTTTCTAACATTTGCTAGAAATCAGGTACCCTAGGGAGAAACAAGAGAAGTCCTGATCATTCCCTAACAGCGACTGAACCTCCTGCCCCGGTAGAGTAAGAGCTATTTTTAATGAACATAACATTTAAAGGCTGATGTCCAAAATCTGAAAAGTTCCCCAAGCTTTCCAGCGCTTCTAGGTAAGGATGGAAGAGACGTACATTTCTTTGATTTGTAGATTTATTTTTTTTTCTATAAAGAACATGGGAGAAAATGGATAGCACACCATCCACTTGGTGTAATTTCAATTGAAAAGTAGAGTTTAGCCATAGTATTTTAGCAAGAAAGATCTGCTGGACAACCAGTCCTTTCCACTCTTCACAGCATCCTGCAATAAGGAACACTTCATCTGACTAATACCCACTGGATGGTGAAGCCATCTCCCGTTCTGAAATATTTGGGCTGAACTTTCTGAGAATAGCCAAGCCTATTCCTGTATGTCCACGAGGCTGCGTTGTACCTTTCTTACCATGATTCAAGTTAAGTGCTGCCACACCAAAAAAAAGGGGCCCAGGTTGTTTTTCTCTATGTCTGCCAAGGCACGGATGGCCCTGCAGCACGGAGAAGGAAAAAGGTCCCTCGGGGACAGGAGAGGACTCCATCTGGAATTTTGTCTTCTTCATATCTCACTTCTTTACGCCTAAGGTGGCCAGTCCTCCTCCATAGGGGTTACAGAGCAAGCCTTACAGAGGCTCCAACGGGCAAGATCTAGTTCTCTCATAGTTAGAAGGGGCAGGATTCATTCCCTGTGACAGCTTTTTAGGTCATCTCACCAGGGCCTGTGTTTTCTGCAAAGGTTATTTTGCTATAAGCGCATACCTGTGACCTTCAAAAAGTGTGGAAGTTTCTTCTAATAGAATTTTGTGTCGGTATCTGTAGCATCTTTAGAAAGAAATATCTAAGAAACAATTACATCTGTTGCGAACAGTTGAGCTGTATCGTCTTCACAGGCTTATCTAGAGAATGTTTCAATTTAAAATACAGCATTTCAGGGTTTACTTCCTTTACTAGGAATAGCTTTTTTCCTGTCTAAAGTTTCTTCTCAGGGTGGTAGGAAAAAATAGTTTAGTTTTATTTCGCTTGCTGTTTCTCCTCAGTAACTTCTTTTACAAGGCGATGTCCAGATTATCTGTTTTTTCAAAGCCACTAATATGGGCAAATAGAACAAAGGTGGCTCAACAACAGGTTCTCATCTGTGCCTGGTAGTTCTCCTATTTTAGGGTGGCTCCTGTGGTTGCTGGAAGCTGCTGCTCTGTAGCTGAAAATATTGCGAGCAGAGCAGCATTTGTGTCACCCCCCTGGCCAAGATTGGTCCTTGGTGTGCTCTCTGCATCTTACCAAGGAAGACAGACGGTGCTTCTGGCTGACCTGCGCCAGCTGAGGAAAAGCCCTGCGGGACTGACTGCAGCAACACTGCGCTGTCAGAACTGACCAAAAGCTGAGGATCTGGCTAGCCCTGCAGTCTCATGGGTGCACAGCACATGCTCTTCCCAAACAAATGAAAACCAGCCCCAAAAAGCAGTATAGATGCCCTGGACTAGGGACAAGCTTGGGGTCGAGACAGCAGGTCTAATGAATTACAGCCATTGTATTCAAAGCCTCCTAGACTTATTTACATATTCCAGTAAATCAGCAGGTCAAACACACTAACTTTCCTGTAGTCATGGGAATAAATGGATTTCAAAACTGGGACCATTATTGCTGAAGATGCTTACATAAATATTTTAAGAATTAAATTGTATTGTGTATCAATAATATAAGACCAAGATTTTATCCTAATACATGCTTTTCCATAGGTTACTTAATTTTATTAATTTAGGAGGAAAATATCAAGACTGATGGATACAAAGTTTGACCTACTTTTACCCCTTTTACATCTATTTGAAAGTCTGCATTAGTCTTTACACACACTATTCCCAAAACCATATGCTGCATGCTGTTCCTCCTTGAAAATGGAGAGAGAATGCCCACCACGCCAGCAGCTCTGTTTTCAAAAGTAAACGGACAGCAGCAAACCAAAAATTAATGAAGAGTAATTGAAGGTTGGTTCTTAAATTACAAAAAGAAATTTGGGAAGTGTCCTTTCAAGTGCACTCCCAGAAATTATTGTAATTCATTTGCCTAGTTTGGAGAGTAGACAGCTTTCCAGGGTGTCACTTATCAAAGAGTTAAAGGAGCTGTTAAAATACTACAATCTTAAGCATGTGTAATTTTGCCCAGTAACTCCTGAGTTGCCTAAAACTACTTGCATAGGGACTGCAGAACTAAGCCTCTTGATATGCTATTTCAACTTACTACATCAAAAGTAATTTTGGAAGCATCTTACCAGATGCGTTTTCTTTTCCTTTGGCATCCTGGGCAGTTTCATCTTCTGGGCATGGCAGTCCTACGAGAAGATATTTGTCCACGGGCATAGAAGCAGGACGTGCTTGCAAACTCCGGCTTGCACGCCGTACAACTCCTTCTTTGTCTTTCAAGTCTATTGGTTCAGATGCACTGTCTTTAATTTCAGTAGTTTCCAGAAAACCCATCTTACTTTTCTTTCTACCTTTGGCTGGTGCACTGGCTGTGCGCCGGAGAATTCGATCACCAATAGATCGCTTCCGTACATAGTGCCCGCTGGTTTCAGCAGAATTGTGCTTAGGGTTCTTGTTAAACAACCCTCTGAGTCCTATCAGCTGCTTATTCTGAAAGGACAAGAATAACCACAGTTTCGAGTGAGTTCAGCTATTATATAATGAGTACAATGAAAAGGGCTGCTTTCAGAGTATTTATGAAGATGAAGACAAAGTTAAAAACGCAGCAAAGCAAAAATTCACACCAAGCAATTCACATCTACTCTGACCAAGGAACTATCAGCATAGGTCTCCATGAATTCATGCATGTCTGTATTTCTCCTCATTAGGATGGCAGCCTGCCACAATTACAAGAGAGGTTTGCTCAAAATCTCCTAATCAGAGATGACAAGACTGTAAGAAGTATACTGCAGTGACAGGCTACACATTAACTTGGATTTTTATGCATGGGCTTCATCAAAGCAATAGTCAAATGTTTCAGAGTCTAAATGAAGAATGATGTAAAGTTTGGTAGCTGCAGATCATGCGATTAGGAACCATTCAAGAAATCTGTGCCCAGCAAGTGCAAAGTGCATGCTAATGAAGTCTACCTTTGTGGCTCCTAGAAAGTGCAATATTGTGTAACTGGGATTGAGGATTAAAGGGCTCCACTGAAAGGCAAAAAAATGCAAATACATTTGGCTAATGTTTTCAAGACTGTGATACAAACAAATAAGGTAATAGTACATCAGCTGTAAATATAACCCCTCTACAGCAAACAATTTAAAACTATTTATTAGTCTAACGTCAGTCTCTCAGAAACATGACCAGATATTCTCACTTGTAAGGATACAAAGGACCATTCAGCCTTTGTTTACCTTAGAAACAGTAGTATAGCACATCGTTAAGGCAAGCATGAATAGACTAAGTGATATAGAGATCAATGGGTCTTATTTGCCCCCCACCCTTCTTTTACATCATTTGTCTTCCCTATGAAGCAACTCTTTACTATTTTTATTGACCATTCTTTGAACAGCACATGAGCCAAGAGCAACAGCCAAACAGGCTCCCCTACAGACTACCACCAAAACTGTATGCGATTTCACACATGTACCCAGATGCGTACAGATCCAGGTATGTATTGCAGATGCATTCCAAGCTGTTTACTACCGCTTTTCTTTTTACACTGATAGAGGAGCAATGAAGTCTACCTCGAATACTAAAACCTTGTCTCTGTGCAGAGAACACGACATGAGTTGGGCATGGTCAGTGCTGTTCCCTCCACCGCCTCGCCGCTGACCTCCCTGGCAGGAGGAACGCTTGCAGAAGCAAGAGCAAATGATTACATTGTCCCTGTGCTGGGACAAGGATGCCAAGAGTGAGACAGACATCTAAGTGGTTTAAAGAGCCATCGTTAGATCAATCAGTGAGGATAAAGGTAGCTGGGTTAAGTGAGGATCTGAACTATACCCAATCTCAGCCCCTAGGCCTTGTCTATGTTATTTTCTATCTGGGTTCCACTGAGCTTTCCTGGGCAATCTTGCAGAAAAGCAAAATGCCACAAACCTAAGCTTTAGGAATCATTTAGAAACCACACAAATTCTGTGAGGTTCTATGGTACATTTAAATCCATTTTTATCAGAAGAATTAAAACAAAGTCTTAGCAAATAGAAGTTTCCAGATATACCTACTTTTCCATAGATTTCATTAATGGTTATATGAACAAATATGGATGCTTCCGTCAGGCCTTCTAAATACACATGACGATAACCTAGTAAAACAAAAATATTGCACCACAAATAATCAACAGTTTGCATTTTATGCACCACTGGCAATCACTGTCTATAGAAGTGAAATACGTGCAGTAAGCCACCTTATGCCTTTACTAAAGCTTATCTTACATTCTCACAGGTTTTCCAAGCCCCCCAGCACAAATTGCCTCTAAGTTATAAATAAGACACCAGTAGTAATTTCCAAAAGCACAGACAACCCAACTCCTTCAAGTAATGGTGAATATACCACTGTAAAATACCAAGAGAACTGTCCAAGCTCATATATGAAGACTCAGAGATACAGGCATAAATTTTATGTCGATAACCTCATCTTCAACTTGAAGTTCAAAGGTCTTTGTTCTTCAGTTAGATCTCCAAGTCAAGGAAAACAAGTGGGACTAACCAGGCACAAGACTGCTAAAGGCCAGAGTTCTTTGTCCAACGAAGTCTCGCCCAATAGGGTCATGGTCCCACACAAGAAATCTCACTAAAGCTACTTCAGGCATGTGGATAGTAAAAGTGAGTGTTTCCTCCCAAACAGGATTAAACCCTGTAAAACAAACAGAACAGAAGTTGTGGGAAACAAGGCCATAGCAAGAGCTAGCCTCCATTTTCACGATGCATAGCAAGAGGCTTAAGAAACAAGCAGACCAAATACACAAATGAATACTCATTGCTCATCTAGATGTAGATGCTCTCAATCTCCATTTTGTAAGTAATTAAAAGTGAGAGATCTGTCTCTCTTGGACTGCTTTTACCAAAAAAATGGTTCTGGTTGAGTAGCTGGCAGGGATACCAAGGCAAGCGGTTGTTTTGAAAACTATGGTAGGCTAAAGATAGACCAAAACAAACAGGAACTACTCCCTTTTTTCCTGATGGTTTTGCAATTGTCTACGAGAATTGATGGCCATCTCTCCTGCCACAACAGGCTATCCCACTCTGTTATTCATCTCCTTCCCTGGAGGGTGAGGTGACAGTAAAACTGCCTAGGACATGATTTGTTTTCATTCCATTTGAAGTTATATATGCATTTTATATAAATAACAACAAAATAATTTGGAACTTCTGCATAAAGGAGATTCAAGAATAATCCAGGAGAAAGATATCGTGTTGAACAGTTCTTGTCCTTCACCTCTTGCTTGTCTGTCTCCCTACACCAGAAATTCTGTCTAGAAAGCAGAATTAATTTGTTAAAATACAATCACTTGATTTCATCAGGTAAGAAGTTTTGCAATTTAGCAAATAATAACAGATACCGAGTCATTTATAATTACTTAATATTTCACTCTAAGAAGAGGAAATCAGCTAGATTATCTTACCATTGTCGTCAACCACCCTGGTTTGATCTTTACAGCAGTCAACAGGTAACCCAATAATTTCCACCTCAACAAAGGGATCTATTATCTATTTTTTAAAAACAAAGTATTTTAAAAGCAAGACAATGATACAAGTAAAGGTCAATTTTTAAGGAAATTCATGCAGAGAGTTAATTTAAATTCATATAAGAATTCAAATCCCTTTGATTTACATGAATTTTCAAGCAGCACAACCATGGAAAATGGCTTCATGAAGTGTAAGTTAATGTATGGTTTGTAGTCTCAAGAACTGTGGCCAGCTATGACTAATTTTCAAAAAAAGTGAAGTCACCCTCAAAATATAAAACAAATTAGTTCTTAAATATCACGTGTAGGATACAGACTCTGTAGGAAAACATAGTATTTAGTGACCAAAAGCTTGACATTATCAGAAATTTATTGGTGTATTTAAATAAAGAGGAAGTTTCTCTGAGTCAGGACCTCTGATGGAAGCATTTGTTGGTATCGGAGTATCTTACCTCTCCTCTGTCTCCTAACATGGAGTCAGGAGGCTTAGGTAGCTGCTGTCCACTGATGATTTTCAGAATAAGCTGCTTTTTAGGACTGGCAGGAAGTGGATCAGCAGAGTAGGGGTTGAATGTGCCTAAGAGATGGCAAGGAATAAGAAGTGCAAGGAAAAAAAACACACAGAATAAACATCACCCCCCAAGATGCATACATATAGCCAAAATTCAGTCATAAGCAAGTAATTTACAGAGCATGGAGCAGCTGTTAATGAATTTTAAAATTCCATTCCACTTTCTTACAACCTTTACTGAGCTGATCAGTCCTTTTTTACATGATTACAAGACAGAAAGGACCCCTCTAATAGTAGGGTTTTACAAGATTAAGACTCCTTTGAAAAAAAAAACTTTCTTCTGTATATTAGTAGCTTAAAAAAAAAAACCAACCAAAAACCCAATAGTTATAACCCAGATCAGCACTCTGATCAAATTTCTTGCACAACTGCCCAAATGTTAACGAGAACAAGCAACTAGGGTTGAGTAAGCTGCTTTCTGCAGCAGCAGTGCCTGCTTCACGTACCCAAACTCCCTCTACCATTTCTCAAGTACCTTTCAATCAATGCCACTTCTTATGGCCCCATTAAGAAAATTACTTAGAGACAGAGAGGCACAATCAGATCCCAAGTCTCCAAAATATGGACAGATTGTCATTGCATAACACTGAAAACCACTGGCTCCTGTTCTAACAGCTTTTTGAGGACTGAACAAATTTCTTTTAAAGAGAACAAAATTCCACTGACTTCCTTGAGAACGGGACCAAGTCCTGGATACTTCGTCCTGGGCCACTGCATACCTTGTTCTTCTTGCATGCAGCTGGCTGTCCCACAATGCCCTTTTATTAAACACATATTAAGATGGAGCCCTCAAATATATCTATAATAACAGCAAGAGATTGTATGCTCATACTCATACAGTCTGAGAGTTAGACACCGTTCTTTGAGAACAAAAAAAAGTATGAATTCTGAAGTAGATAAGCTTATGAATTTATGGAAATACAAAAGATTCTACATATGTTCTTATTTTTCTTTCTTGTGTCTTGGCAACTTCGCTATGAAGACGTTTTCTGAAAGGCTTGACACTTACAGTAATAAATGTCTAGTGGGACATTACCTTTGCACATCTGCTGAGGTTTGAGGACATAACCACAGTTGCCGTTTACCCTAAATTTTGCATCATTTAATTGCATCACACGTCCCTCAGATTGGTAGTTTAGTGCCACTGTTGAAAGAGAAGACTCAGGTGTAAGATATTTACTTAGCACATACACAAAAAGTGGGAAGTTATTCATGCAACACCTACCTAACTGGCAACCAACATTCCAGTAAGGTAAAGGGTTGAAATTGCTGGAGTCAATCCGATAGGCTGACGGATAGACCCTTGTAAGCTGTTTCTGGTTGTAAAGCATAAACTGTTCAGCCTTCTGCTGCACTGCTTGGTGGGCTCTTGTTTCACTGAATGATAGCACGTTCCCTGTTGATCCTGTGTGTATAGTTAAATCAACAGACAAGTTACAAAGCAATCCCAGGAGACAGGAGCCTGAACTCAGACCTTAATTGCACTCATATTAATCAAGGAGAACATTAGATTTAGTTCAAAGTTAGAAGAGATTGTCTTGTGACATGCAAATTATATACATTGTGTCACTGAAGGGCACCTGTTTCACCTTCCAAGAGGGTCTTTTATTCTACCCTCAAGTTTCCAGACTTAGAAGGAAAGCCGAGCAAGAGCTTATGCTAATTGCTAGGACCTTTCCTGCTGCAGAGGAATGATTGCTGTGGAGAATTTCCTAGGCAAGAGCGCCCAACTATGAGGGAGCAGTTGAGTTGGTCTAACTGCACCATCCCTCCACGCCCATCTCTCCAGCCAGGACCAGGGAAACACAAGATCCAGATGAAAGGCAGCTGCAGTACTGTGTTCCAATGAGCAGGCCCTCCTTTCCAGAGGGCCACGAGCCATCAGGTGGGTTCGGCAGTACCGCCTGACTGCACGTGGACCTGCGGAAAAATCTGAGCTGTCTCTCAGCTCAGAACAACAAGACTGAAATTCTACAAGACTATGTTCTTGTAGGATTTCTTGGACTGTTTCTCCACACTGCTTTCACCCTCCTTAATTTCTCCCACTAAATTCTATTAAATTAGGAATTGACGTGTTTAACATGTTTAGTGAAACAACTGCACGCTTTGTGAACAGGTAACACATCTATTTATCACAATTCAAGTCTGTCGTGTTACTAAATGCTACTTAAAATTGATAATGTTAAAAGATGATGACAAACTCCATAAAGCTGTAAAACCAGGAAAGGGTTTTCCTGAAAAAACATTTTTAAAATTGCTACTCAAACATGAAAGTCATAAGAAACCAAGGGAAAGGATATTTCTTAGGCAAGGAAAAGGTGGTGCTTTACCTGTTCTCCATATTTAAGTAAATGGGACAGGTAACTAACTACTCTGCTTTTAAAATGTCTTTGACAAACAAGGGAAATCTTGAGAACACAAACGTGTTTCCTCTCCACATGGAAAAGTAAGAAAGCCTTGTGTAAGTCTCATGCCAGCAGCCTTACCGTCATCAACTATGTCCTGGGCTGCCACAGAGTTCGTGTACACCACTAGGTCAGACAGAGCTCGGCACAGCTTCACCGTTTTTCTTCGACGAGCCAGTCTGCTGCGTTATATTTAATATATAAAACAAATTAGAATTTTTTCAGTATTTAAAGAATATTTCAATCTCCCTTTCTGTTCTTTTCATCGATAAGGGAACAAACAACTGTGAACAGGGAACCACATGTGGCAAACCTCCTTAGGGAGGGCTCCGACATGACTGTTCCCCTTGTACCTCTATAGTCACACTACACAAACAAAATTTTTCATTTAAGGTGTAATGAAATAGCTGCACCATGGCTCTTCTCAACAAAACCAAGGCAGACAGCTTTGAGCTGTATCTGAAAATGGAGCATTTCAGTGACAACAAATGCATTCTCAATGGCACTTTTTTGATTGCTTTTTCTTTACATTCTCAGATGTAATAGAGCTGGCTGGGCTGTGATATACCCTTATTTAGCCTAGACAGTTTTCTTTGAGCACTATTTAGAGCATGCAAAATGTAGATTGGCATTTTGCCATTAGAAGAGTATTACTATCACACTTCTTTCCAGTTTAAGGGTAATTGCAATTTGCAACCTATGAAAATCTACACAATCAAAATATCAGGCTACAGCAGTCACAGCAAAACATACCCCAACAGCAGCGTCATAACCAACCTGCTCTCAAGAACAGGCTTCCCTCAGGCAATGACATATAAATATTGGTAGTAGTAACATGCCTCCAGCTTTAGTTGAGCTGTAAAACTATGGTGATTCATAGCTCACCTGTGGAGCTGCCCCGTTTCCTTCCCAGAAGAGTTTTGCTGACTTTCTTCATCATCTGATGCACTATGGTATTTGGATGTTGCCTTCACAGCTTTCTGTTGGGAAAGAATCAAGCACACCTGTGGCACTTTATAGGGTAGTTCTACAAATCCACATTACTGTCATTCATGTCAGGTGAGTGGGTGAGCTGCAGCACAGGACCAGAGTCCAACAAAGACACAGAACGACTCTGGGGGTTTGGCAGCAGAAAACCCTGGGTGGTACATCAAGTGTTTCCATACATATGGAGAAGGAAAGCCCACACAAAGCATCTGTGTCCTGATCTTGCTCCATCTGACTCCAAGGATCCAAACCTGCAGTCGTGGAGCAGGTTTATCTGCTGCCTAACAAATACAAGCCTGAAGATAACTTATTTCTGCAAACTGGCCAGTTCATTGCAGGCCACTGCATATTCTGCAGCTTCTCTCCCCTGCTCCCTCCTGACGTGAGAGGACAGCATGGCTCCGCTGTCTCCAGTATACTGGCACTGGTCCTGCTCATATTCCAATGGATCATATCATATTTAACAAACAGCAACACACAGTAGAATCTAATGTACAGTGCACTGCTTCCACCTGCCTATGGCCCCCCCCATCCTCCCCACCCAAATTTAGAAATTTTAACAAATTCATTCATGGAGTTGAGAACGCAGTCTGGGCAAAATTTTCAAACACCTTTTTGCTGTCTTTTGAGCCACACATGCAAGCGTTGAAATTATTCTAATTTATTACAGTATACAGCAAAGAAAATAGCTATGATAAAAAGATTAAAATCTCAAAAGCACCTATTATCTAATACAGTTTCCAATTTCAACAACATTACATCTTTTGTAACACTAACGATAGCTTCAAGTGAGAGTTTCTTTAATTCCCTTCTCATCAAGAGGTAATTAACAATATAACTGAGAGCTCCTTATCCTTTTGCTCATACAGCTAGATGCTAATTGAGCACAGATTTCTTTTCTCCTGCTGTGATACACCAGTAATATACACAGTTTAGTTTGTTGCGTTTAGTGCTGAAATAAAGTTGACTATATTGGAAATCATTTGCATGCTTCAGTTTTAGAACCCGAAGGTCTTCACTGTGAACGTCTCCTGCAGTTAACTTGCAGGAACTGCAAGCCTTAGTGTCTTTGTCCCTCCACTGGCAGTTTTTAAAGAGTTTACACTTGGATACATTGGGCACAAGAACTGGCTGAAAACATCACAAGTCACTATCCCTGGGTGGATAATTCTACACCTGCAAAAATATTAACAGTAACCATCCTTCCCAGGCATTCCCCTAGCTGGAAAGGTGTAAAGGAGGAAGTTACTGGACATCCCTGATGCCTCAGTCTACAATACAATCATTATTTTAAAAAAAAATACAATAAAAGCTATATATACTCTCTCTTTTTTTTTTTCAGCAGAGATGAAACAAATGGGCTTTCCAACCTGCTGTATCCATTAGGATAACTAGTTGAAGTAATTAAATTATTGACATACTTTTGAGCCCTTGTAACCAGGAGCTTTTAGTGGCTGATTTTTGTCTGTGACATCTCATTCCACAGGATTTGTTTTCCCATCAGCAAGCACAGATTACAGTGTGAAGTGTCCACTATCATGCACAACAGGTACTTGCAGATCTCAACACATACCGAGTAAGTAACATGCACTTAGCTAAAGCTGCTGAAAGAAATATGACCACTTTAAACTGATGTAAGCTTATAATTGAAGTGTAAATATGAGTCCTGGTATTGTCTGCTTAGAGAATTTTTGATGGCTCCTAGCTGCCTTCAGGGCAGATGAGCTGGTGGCTGATTAAGTTCTATGTATTATTTCATAACTGCTGTTTTTTCTGAACTGCTGCTCAGGTTATCGATTACAGAGCGTGCTCCCTGCTCGGCCGCAGCTTTCACCATGGATAGCCCTGAAGAGGAATACAGGCGTCTAGCAGGCTGTGGGCAGAGGAAGCCGCTGCTGGCACAGGGACTCTGCTGCAGACCTGCCGCATCCCTCCCTCACGACAAGCCTGTCTGCTGATTTACTTGGTATTTGCTAATTGACTCTGGGAGGAAGGAAGCTTTCAGTTGAATCAGATCCTACTGAGGCTACACGTTCAATAAATCCAAACCTCAAGGCATCGTGGGAGTGTGGGAATAGGGGAGGCGGATGACAGGAACACATTTGTCAGGATATGGGAACGGGAGGAAACCTAAGCGCACGGTCCCTTTTGGTGGCCGCTATCTGTCCAGCTGTAAAATGAAACCTCACACTCATTTGAATTATATTAGCTCTTGCTTGGTTCAATAGAGCCGCCACAGCAAAGACCCAGCGAAGCAGACAATTTGACCAAGCAGCTACACAAACATGTAAATACTATACACAAAACCATGATGAGATCAGAAAAGAACACATTTTTCCAGAGCAGGAGCCTAGAGCCAGTACTCAGTCACAGCAGTCCCTTAAAGCAAGTGGAAAGGCAGTAGGAGCATGCTCTGCATGGCACTGCTCAGGGTGTAAAACAGGGTAAAACTGGACCGTGAATAAAATAAACATTGTCAGCTGTGTGGACAGAGGTCTGGAAAACAAGAATACACCAAGGCATTTGTCTACATGGCTCCTTTGCTGCTGAAAGAAAATCAGAAATTCCACTTCCCTAGCAAAGATGATTTTAGGCAAGATTATGTTTTGAGTTTGTGCAATCATCTTTAAAGGGTTCTCCATACTGCTAGCAGCTACATTCTTCTGAACAGCAATAAATATCCCAAGTGTAATCACATAGTCTTTCCTCACTGCCCTTATACATACCATGCTTGTCTCAAGCAATAAAACACACCCAGAGTCTCTATAACGCTCTCAGATCTAGAACATCAAACCGAGTCTCTCATTTTACTTACTTTGTGTTTACCAAAGTTGCTCATTAATGATCGACTATGAGACTTTTTTCCACCTTCTTTTGTGTCCAGGTTCTGTGCAGAGAGTGCAATAAAAACTGTGAGTACATACCTTCAAAAGTATCTGTAAGGAGTCTACTACAGTCTCTAAAAGACATGGTTTCAATCTAATAAAGTTTCAACTTATAAGTTCACGACCCTGATTCACTATTACAAAAGTATAGTGATTGCACATGAGAAAAAAAGTGAGTTAAAGTCCAAACACAACGTACTGATCTGTGAACACAAACTGAAATCTAAAATACCATTACAGGACTTTTCTAATTTCGTTATATGCTTGATAGTTTAGCAACCCTGTAACAGTAAGGAAAAATAACACTAACACTCAAGACAACAGTCTTGAGAACATAGGAAAAAAAGTCTAGCAAAAGCAAAACCAGGCAAGCAACATCAAAACACAACAACATTTGAAAGTGTACTTGAAAATAGCCGGGGGGGCGGGTGGAGGCGGAAATCTCTCCTAAGAGATAAATGTGGACTTTTCATAGGCAGCCTGAAGTCCGAGTTTCACATTTATAATCATGCCTCTAGATATCAGTTTGATAATTCCTGGCAGCATCTAGCCTTTTTCTGTCAGAAAAGCACAGCCCTTCATCTTCTAAAGAGCAAAACCAAGACCTAAAGGTACAGAAGAATATTCTCCCACTGTTTCAGCAAGTCCTATGAACTCGAGTTATCCCCTGTTCAGTGCTGAGCTGGAATTCACTTCTGGCTATCATAATGATAAGGGCACTAGATGGCTTCTTCAGGTCCAAGAAAGTCAATAACCTCTGTATCTATGTTCAAAGATTTGTTCCTGGCCCAGGCTGAAAGTGTCTGTAAAATGTAGAAGGAAACCTTAGCAGATAAAGAACTTGTGTCCCTCAAAGAGCGAGGGTTGACAGTTTCAACAGCAAATCCAAACTAGCATCAGATGGACTGACAGTACGGTACATGTCGCCTTCCTCCCTTCCCACAAAACCCCACCTGATAATTACTGGAGACTAGTACATAGTTGCATTGTGAATGCCCTTTTTTTTTTT